TTGAGTCTCTCTCTTGTTGAAAATCCGCTCCGCCTCCTTTAGCAAATCCTGGATCGTACTTTCCCTTAAGTTTTTAAGCCTTTTTAATTTTTTTCTGATATCCGGGGCAGACTGCCAGATGAAGGACATGGCCACATTGGTAGCCTGGTTAGGGTCCTCCGGATCATAGGGGGTGTACACATGATAGGCTTCCTTTAGTCGTTCTAGGAAGGCGGAGGGAGACTCCTCTGACCCTTGGGTCACTAACTTAACCTGAGCCAAATTAGTGGGGCGCTTTGCTGCCCCATGGAGACCCGCTATCAGCAACTGGCGATAGAGACGTAAGTGATTCCTACCGTCCTCCGTGGCGAAGTCCCATTCAGGTCGCTCCAAGGGGAGGGCATCGTTGATCTCGTTTGGCAACTGAGTAGGCTGCCCGTTAGCCCCCAGGACGTTCTTACGTGCTTCCAAAAGGACTCGTTGCTTTTCCTCGGTGGTTAGGAGGGCCTGTAACAGCTGCTGACAATCGTCCCAGGTGGGCTGGTGGGTTACTAAAATGGACTCGATTAAAGCGGTGAGTCTAGAAGGGTCCCTAGAGAAAGGGGGATTATTATTTTTCCAGTTATATAGATCCGAAGCGGAAAAAGGCCAGTATTGGAGCTGGCCGTTAGGCCCCGCTCGTAATGGGAGAGCCTGAGATGTGGAATCCAGAGGGGCCTCTCGGCGCCCTCTCAATCGCCCTGCCACCGGGGAAGGAGCTGGTTCCTCCTGAGGTCCGGCCGCGGCGGCTTCTCCCGGCTCTTGGTCGGGGTCTGGGTCCCTATAGGGGGGAGGTTCTTCAGTCAGCAGATCCAACAAGGAGCCATCGTCTGTTGGCAGTACCGGGGGCGTCGGCGTCTTTTTGCCCCCTGGATTACGTCCTTGGGCCTGCTTTGTTACAGCTGGATAGAGGGCAGACTTAGAGGGTGTGGGGACCAACGGAGGAGGTAGGGCAGGGGCAGAGGGAACTGCAGGGGGAACAGCAGGGGGGCTGGGAGTGACAAACGGCTTGACCCATGAGGGTGGTTCCCGGGCCAGGGCTTCCCAAGTAACAATGTAGGGTATCTGGTCCGGGTGGCCGTGTGGCCCTGAATCCATGACTTTCGCCTTAACCTGCAAAATAATGTCTAGGTTAAAGGTGCCATCTCCTGGCCAGCCGACATTAAATGTCGGCCATTCTGAGGAGCAGAAGGTGTCCCATTTTTTTTTCCGGATCTCTACAGAGTGGTTATGAGCGATGTCTCGGGTATCCTTCCAGTGCTGTAGAGTGAGGCTTAAGGGGGTAGTTAGAGACTGTCCCATGGTTTTAAAAAGACTAACACCAAACACAAACCCGACGAACAACAGACAGACAGTAACACAAACGCAGCGCGCGGCACGACTCTGGCGCCAAACCGAAAGCAAAACTTCAGATGGAGACTGCGAAGAGGGTCCGGATCCCTCGTACCCCAGGAGAACCACGTATCCCTTGGACAAGGGCTTCGCCCCGAAAAGTCCAGATTGGGACGTGATCTCAGACAGGCGGGCTCCGAAAAATCGGGCCCCAGACACTCGTGGAACGTCTTCCAGAGTTGCGGGAGAGAAGTCTAGGCCCGTCAGCCTCTTCTCTTTCCGCCTAATACGGAGCGACTCAGCTGAATCGTACAAATTTTGAGAGATAGAACAGGCAATAAACACGTGACGGAATGAAGACAAAAGACACTCTGCTGGCCAGCTTACCTCCCGATGGGTCGGTGGTCCCTGGGTGGGGGTCTCAAATCTCGGTGGGACCTCCAAATGAAAGACTCTGGGTAGAGCCTCTTTAGACGGAGAGACCCCGCTTCCCAGGAATCAGCGAGACCAGCCTTCGGATGCAAGCCGCAAGAGGTTTATTTCGATACACGGGTACCCGGGGCGACAAAGCCTTTTGGAAGACCTGCGCGCCTCTCGGTTGGGGTAACGGGTTTTTATAGGGCTCGGGAGCAAGAAGCACGGTTACAGAAGCGAGAAGCATAGTTACGGGGATCTGATTGGGGGATTTGAACAAAGCCATAGTTAGGTTACGTATTTGAAGCAGGGAAGGCGGGAAAGCAGATGTGAGCTAAGTCACGTAGCCGGTTCAGAGAAGGCGGGAAAGACTCCCGGTTCTTATCTTGGGTGTCCCAATTGTTTCAGGCGCCCAACCGCAGATACCCTGTTGTTGGACACCTGTCCTGCCCTGCCTCTGACCCTGCACTGCTTGTAAAATAGTGTTGCCAGCATTATGCTAGGGCTTTTTATTTTTTCACTCCTAAGATGGTGGAGGCACAAGGCAGGATGTAAGCCATGTGGTCGACATGGCTGCTCTTTAAAAACATTCTATAGACCTATATATCTTTAAAAGAGAGTTGCATCCAAGTTACATGCATATATATACCCACATGAGTTTAATTATAGTTACAAACACACATGCAGACATACATATATATGTCTTAAAGAAGAGTTGGACTTAGATTTTAAATACCATACCCAATAAGCAAATTATAAATCCTTAGATAAGAGTTCACACACACACACACAAGAGCAGAGCGCAAAGAAAGCAGAGAAAAGATTTTTTTTTAAGGTGGGAAGTAGAGCCTCCGAGATAAGATGCTTTGGGAGCTGAGAACAGAGTGTAGATATCTGGGACTCATTTGTCTGTGATTGTGAGAATTTAGAAGTTTGCTATACCAGTTTTTGGCCCTTGAATGTGGCCGTGTTTTGTAATGGAGAGTCCATCGAAGAAAGGGAGGGAAGCATGAGCAGGCCAGCTGCGGGGGGAGGGAAGAGGTGAGCAGCCAGTAAGTCCATGTGGAGAGGCTGAGCCTCGGAGAAGCAGACTCTAAGTAGAACTCGGAACCAAACAGAGAAGTGGTCCACACATAGCTCAGGAGTAGTTTTGAGAAAGCTGCGTGCTTTGGAGCAGCCATTGGGGGGAGCAGGCGTGCATTATAATTTGTGTTTCCATCTAGCTGTGATCCGCTGCAAACAGTATGGTAGAGGGACCAGATGGGAGTGAAAGAGGGTTTAGAGTGTGGAAAAAGGAATAAAGAGGTTTTCGTGTTCCTCTGATCACTTGGGCAGTATCATGAGGCAACTTGAAAGCACCCTGGTGGGTAGCTTGGAGGTCCAAATGGGGAGACTGTTCTCATGGCTGAAGAGAGAAGTGGATCAGTCACAGGCCTGACCTCAAGGCACCCAAAGGGCACAGGGGGACTAGAAATGAGTGGACACAAGCTGGCCAAACAGGTCATCATGCACTCATCAGGAACCTCAACGGGAACCGAGGGCAGGCACCCGAGCAGCACAGTTTCACCTCGTACTAGGATTTTCAACATGCAAGAAAGAGGAAACCATGCTGGTAGAAGAAGGAATCTTACCCAGGGAAAGTCCAAACTAAAGTCAAAGGTCGGCGAAAACAGCCAGCCGTTGTCTCTTATGCCCACCAGTGTTGAATGCCATCAGTCGACCACAAAGCAAATTTGTTGCCGGTTAGCATAAGACAACTGGAGGGCCCACCGAGTTTCTCAGCACCAGTGTTATGATAATGATGAATATGACACCACGCAACATACTTGGTATAAAGGAGGTTTATTGTGGGAAAAGGGGAGGAGGAGAGGAGGGCACTTATGACAGAGGGATAGAGAGAGAGAATAAGAGAAATGGAGACAGAATAAGAGAAAGAAAGAAAGCACAGGGGGGCGGGTGGTTCCTGTTTATCTGGCACACACCTGGATATGGCAGATGATGACATCAGCGGTTACTAGTACCCTGAAACGAGGCAGTGGGCCCACCTGTATGCTAACAGTGACTGCCTCACTAAAGAGATGGCGGTCCGGAACTGAGCGGTAAGCACTGGAAGGATTACACACCCAGATAATGTGAGTGTCGCAAGGTGAGTCAGTAGGGATTAGGAGCCCCTGAGATAGGAGTTGGGAGATGCTGAGCTCCAGACCGCAGCAGTGGCTCTCAGAGACGGAAAACTGGCATCTGAAAGGGAAGGAGAGCGCTGCTTCAGGCAAACCAGGACCAGCTGGTTCTGGGTGGCATATCTCATCCCTGTGGGCTGACCAGATCCAACAGGGCAGGGGCAGTCTGGGGTAGGGAATCTGTGAGGCAACAGGAGAGAAGATGGAAGTCAGGAGAGATGGGGGCCAGGGAGAGGGTTGTCACAAAGTGGCTGAAGATACCTTGGCCAAGTAAAGGCACCAGGCAGATGGGCATGACCAAAACAGAATGTGAGAAGAATCATCCTGCAAGAACGCAGTGGATTGACAGGGTCTTAGTTGGAAAGGAGAGGGTTCCATTCAACCCCACGACAGAAACTGGTGATGGGACCATGGGCCCCAAGTGAGTGGTTAAAACAGAGAAAGCCCCTATGTCCACCAGGAAGATGATGGACTTACCGGCACAGGGAGTGTTCGCCTGAGCTCGACAAGGGTGACAGGGGTCTCCAAGTCTGAGCACCATCAGGCCTCTGCCAGGCCAAGGAGCTCCAAGGCTGTAAGGCTCTAATGTGCCTGTGCTGGTGTGGCTGGGCCTCCATGGCATGGGGCAGAGAACAAGCCCACACGGGGTCATTCTCACCTCCAGGGGTCAAGCTGTGAGCAGGCAGGGCATGGCTTGCTGGGCTGCCAAGGGCTGGGACAGCCCAGGACTTTCCTGGCTGCATTTGAAGCAAGCCTCTGTCAGAGCTGACTTGGGCTGGACCCTGGTGGGATGGGATGGTTCCATGCTCTGCGTCCTCCTTCAGGGCATCCAGTGCCCCTGCACACCAGGCTGGGAAGGATAAAGCAGAGCCAGAATGGAAAAGTTCAAAGGATCCCGGTCTGAATGGGAGTGCCAGGGCAGAGGAAGCGGGGAGAAAGCCGCCTCCTAGGTTTTCAGTGTTACAGCTCTTGGGGTTCACGTCTTTGCTTCAGAGTGTCCAGTTACTGGGGTGTGCAGGCAGCAGACTGGAAGGAACAAAGCCTAGCTGGACAGGCAGGTCCTCCCAGGATCCCAGTCAGGTGGTAAATGCCGGGAAGAGAGAAAGTCTCCTCTTGAAACAGCTCTTCAAGTGTCAACAGCCTTTTAGCTCAAAGCTCTCCTGGTAACGCAGCAACTCTTAGACAATATTCCGTGAAACAGCTTGTGCATTTTCCTCTGGGTGAACAAGGATTTATGAACCTTGGGGAGAGGAAAGGGATTTTCAGGGTGGGTGCATATCATTGGCTGTGTCTGAGATTGTGGTGCTCCTTAATTTACACGGAGAGGAATTCCAGGTGCTAGGCTACGTGTCTACTGTAGGAACCGGGGTCCAGGAGGGGATGAGAGCAAGAGAGTGACCAACCCTGGAGGGACACAGACTCCAGAGATGGGTGGTGTGGTGGCTTAGAGACAGACAGAAAGAAACTGTTGCGTGCAGCAGCTTGGAGGAGACTGCTTGCTGTGTCTGCTCTTGAGGAAGATTGGTATAGCCCTAAAAGAACCCATTGACCCTAAACAGCCAGGAGAAGTAAAAGGGTCTGCATCTCCCCTCCCCACTAACCTCTCTCCTACTTAGGGTTGGGGTATTGGAAGGGAGGTAGAGACCTAAACACCCCAAATAAAATAGTATAAAAACGAGAGCTACAAAGCACAATCTGTACTCTTAATTCAGAATATGCATCTTTAACTAGTAAGTGACACTTGACATCAATGCCTCTAGTCCTATTTTGTTGCTCCATAACTGAAGCCTCATCTTTCCACCATGTTAGCTGCTATGAGTTCAGCCCCTCACCGACCACTCAGACACCAGATTCCACTCAACAGAGGTTTATTGAACACTAAACAGAAACTAATCGGTCAGGGCTTGGGAGTCAGACTATGAGGTTGGTCTGCTCCTAAGGCAGGGTTTTTTTTTATACAAAACAACAAACAAACAAACAAACAAACAAAACCAGGTAACAAAACTGTAACCAGGTGAAGGAAAGAAACTGCAACTAGGTAACAACCAGGTAACAAAAATGCAACCAAGTATCCAGATGTAGGACGCAACATCACATCATTTTGACTAGCTAGACTGACCTTTAACTTGATTGGTTCTGAGACCGGGGGACTTCATGGAGTGTCCAGGTAACAAAGTATACAAAGTTTGAGAAATGAAACCATAGAGACATAATCAAAATTGAGACTTGGAGGCAAAATGGCTTCTGATGTCCTAAAGGCTATAGCAGGTGTTAACAGAGGAGCCATAGTTACGCTACGAAATAAAGTAGATCTGAACAGAGGGCCTGTAGAATTTAAGCAGATTACAACATTAGCCATTGTAGTTGAGGGCCAGG